CCATGGAGCCTCCAGTCTGGACTGGGTACAGAACCTGAGGTGGATTATCGTTCTGGTCCTGGATCAGGATTTTCACAGTCACGTTGCTGCTAAGAGGAGGAGAGCCTCCATCCTGCGCTTTAATGCAGAATTGAAAATATTTGATCTGCTCGTAGTCAAAAGAGCGAACTGCATGAATGACTCCACTATCAGCACTGACGGACACATATGAGGAGACTGATACTCCGTTAATAGAGGAGTCCTCCAAGATGTAAGATACACGAGCATTTTGGTTCCAATCAGCATCTGTAGCTTTTACTGTGAATACAGACACACCTGGTGTGTTGTTTTCTACAATGTAGGCCTCATATGAGCTCCTCTCAAAGACAGGCGCGTTATCATTCACATCAGAGATCTGTAAGGTGAGAGTGACGCTGCTGGAGAGGGATGGCACTCCTTCATCAAAACATGTTAATGTGATGTTAAACCCCGCAGCTGTTTCTCTGTCTAATTCGGTGTCTGTCACTAAACTATAGAAATCATTCGCTGACGATTTTAAACTGAAAGGCGTATCTTCATTTACGAAGCATTTTACTTTTCCATTTTGCCCTGAGTCTTTGTCCTCGATGCTTATCACTGTTACTACTGTATTTAGTTTCGCGTCCTCTGAAATAAGCGTAGACTTTGACATGATTTTAATTTGTGGGTTGTTATCATTTGTATCTTGTATATCGACAAATAATTTGCAAGAATCTGTGAGACCACCTTCATCACTAGCAAGTAAATATATCTGATAACTTCTTGACTCTTCAAAATCCGTATTTCCAATTAAAATCACTTCACCGCTTTCTTGGTTTACTTCAAATATATTTTTAACATCATCGAAGGTGTTTGTAATTGTATATGTTATCTTACTGTTAGAGCCTTCGTCTGCGTCTGAAGCTTTAACTGTTGCAACAACTGTTCCCTTTGCTGAATTTTCAGTGACAGTAGCTTTGTATATCTGTTGTGTGAAAACCGGAGCATTATCATTAGCGTCTAGCACTGTAATAACAATCTGCATCGTTCCTGACATCTGCAACACTCCTCCGTCAACAGCTGTCAACACGAGATTTATATTTTCCTGTTTTTCTCTGTCTAATGGCTTCTGTAACACCATCTCTACATTTTTATTCCCATCGGGGTTGTTGTGTAGTTTTAACTCAAAATTCTCTGTTGGTTTTAAAGTGTAGCTTTTGAGGTCATTAATTCCGACATCAAGATCGACAGCTCTTTCCAAAACAAATTTAGCTCCCATCACAGCCGATTCACTAATTTTGAATTTCTTCTCTCGTTTTTCAAAAGATGGCGCATTGTCGTTAATATCTGTGATCTGAATCGTAACGCTATAAAATTCAATTGGGTTTTCTAAAATAATCTGAAAATGTAAAGAACAAGGGGTCGTCTTTTTGCAAAGGCTTTCTCTGTCGATTCTCTCCTTCACAAGGATGGCTCCCGTTTCTCTGTTGAGCTCTACGTACTCGTCGCTGTCTCGGGTGAAGATTCGCGCTTTGCCTGATGTCAGGCGTTTGATTTGCAAACCTAAATCGTGAGCTATGTTTCCTATTAAAGATCCTTTGGCCATTTCCTCCGGAATAGTGTAAGAAACTTGCCCGAACACAAAGCCGAGGGAGAGGAGAAAGATAGTCACCGTTACTTGCCTCATCATTGTTCTATCCGTGTATTGTTCCACAGAAAAACTCTTTGGTTAAAATCGAGTATTTTTTTTGTCTCAGTTCCAATCGCAGTTAATCTTTCAAGCCAAGTATAATCCACACAAAAGCACCGAGGTCGGCAGGCTGATATTTTTTCCCCTATTTTTAAAAAAAAAGAAAATATCTGCTGCGGTCCTTTCCCGTCGTGCTCCTTCTTCATTATGTGAACGATAGAAAGGAGGTCCTGCTACAAGTCTACTGTTCAATACACACTATGGTCAACAGCGGCCCTGTGAGTTCAAAATGAAAAACTGCAGATTTAACTGAGACATATGTAAAAAATGAAATGGGTAAAACAAATAAATAATAATAATAATCATATAATGTTTTAACAAAAAATATGCACAATCGAGGGTCTTTTGAAATGTTATTGCTGTAATCCGACAAATGTTTTTAAAGTTTTTTTTTAAATAGCATAACAAATAATCTCCCCACTCTGTTAGTTTGAATGAAGGATCAAGTGTATGATCGTATCTGATCGTCAATCTGGTTTCTTAACTCCATGGGAAAGCATCATCAAAAGTTTAAAATGAATGCTGTTGAAAACGGCGCTGTCCTTTGTCCTGAAATTGAGAAAATTGCCTTCATACCCACAGTACCTATTCGCTTATCTCGGGCTGATTGTATTCAGATGCATTTAGTTTGAAAAAAAAAAGTCTTTTTATCAACATAAAGCAGGACAAACGTTTGGCAGAACATGCCGGCGCTATTCACGTTGACAGAAAAGCCTATGTCTTACTAAAAATGTCCTACCCTATGGCTTACCCAACTATTAATAAAAAAGTAAAATAAAATATACGTGTTCCACAAAAACTAACAAAATAAAAACTTGCTGTTGACTAACATAGAAGTAATAATGAATAAAAGACGTAAGAGAAAAAAAACGAAAACGAGGACATATGCATTTGACTTAAAAAACATATACGTAGGAATGTGCGGTGATACAAAGTAAGAACAAATAATGCTTCATTTTTACTCCTCTTAAACTAATTGTTAAATAAAACGTTTTTGTTTTGATACCAAAGAAGAAGAATTCATTTATAGAGGTAAACGATTTCGTTTAATCTATAAATGTTAATGTGTGCGTCAATGTGTGAAAGATTGCGTGTAGTGTAAAGAGTTTTGGGGTTTCTCTGGACTAGATAAAGTGCTACACAAGTACAGGGCATTTACAATTTAAATATATGGAAGGGATATAAAGCATAAGAAGGACCAAAAAAATCAAAGCATTCTAACCTCTAGAGGAGAGTCGGGTTCATCCAGGATGTTCTTCTCATTCTGTATCCTCTGCATCGTCCCTGTGGAACTGGGCTCCATTATCAACATGTTCTGACTACCAGCTCCTCCAAACTTACTTTCACTCTTTCTGGAGTCAGTCGTCCTGCACACCTCGTAATTGTACACGTGCGGCAGAGTTCCTGTTCCCAAAGTGTCTGAGTAACGAGGTGGATAATATGGAATCACAGGGAGGCTGGAGTGATACAGGATGCGAGACTGTCTCCATCTGTAGATCTTCACTGATATAATAACCACTAAACACGTGATGAAGAGGAAGGAAACCACAGCCAGAGCCAACACTAAGTAAAAAGTCAGGTTGTCATTGTATTCCTTATCGTGTGGAAAGTCAGTGAACTCCGACAACACTTCAGGGAAGCTGTCCGCCACCGCCACGTTAACAATGACTGTAGCTGAACGAGAGGGCTGCCCGTTGTCCTCCACTATGACAGTCAGTCTTTGTTTCACAGCATCTTTATCAGTCACCTGACGGATAGTTCTTATTTCTCCATTCTGTAAGCCCACTTCAAACAGCGCTCTGTCTGTGGCTTTCTGGAGTTTATAGGAGAGCCAGGCATTCTGTCCAGAGTCCACATCCACAGCCACCACTTTAGTCACCAGGTAGCCCACATCTGCTGAACGAGGCACCATTTCAGCCACCATGGAGCCACCAGTCTGGACTGGGTACAGAACCTGAGGTGGATTATCGTTCTGATCCTGGATCAGGATTTTGACAGTCACGTTGCTGCTGAGCGGAGGAGAGCCTCCATCCTGCGCTTTAACGATAAACTGGAAATCTTTGATCTGCTCGTAGTCAAAAGAGCGAACTGCATGGATGACTCCGCTATCAGCACTGACAGATACATATGAGGAGACGGGCACTCCGTTAATTGAGGAGTCCTCCAGAATGTAAGAAACACGAGCGTTTTGGTTCCAATCAGCGTCTGTGGCTTTCACTGTAAATATAGACACACCTGGTGTGTTGTTTTCTATAATGTATGCCTCATATGAGCTCCTCTCAAAGACAGGTGTGTTGTCATTTACATCAGAGATCTCCAATGTTAGAGTGACGCTGCTGGAGAGGGAGGGTACTCCTTTATCAGAGCAGGTCAGTGTGATATTATAATTAGAGGCTATCTCTCTGTCTAATTCACTGTCTGTCACTAAACTATAAAATTTCTTTGAAGTTGCTTTTATCAAAAACGGCATGTTTTCCTCAATGCTACACTCAACATTCCCGTTTTCTCCAGCGTCAGTATCTTGAACATTAATTATCGTAACCACCGTACCTGGTTTGGAATTTTCTGTTACCGATTTTGTTTTAGACATAACATTTATAGAAGGTTTGTTATCGTTTGTATCGGTAACTTCAACAATAATCTTGCATGAATCTGTCAGGCCCCCGTCATCACCAGCTTGTACGTGTATTTCATAACGCGGTGTCTTTTCGTAATCTAAGTTTCCAATTAAAGATACAACGCCGCTTTTTTCCCCTACTTGAAATAAATTTGGCACGTCATCTAAGGTGTTTGTTATCGAATACGCCACTTTTCCATTTGAACCTTCATCTGCATCTACTGCACGAACTGTACTCAAAATAGTACCTATTGGAGCAGTTTCCATAACAGTAACTTTATAGACTTCCTGCGTAAAAACTGGAGCATTGTCATTAACGTCTAGTACTGAAATTTCCACCCGCATTGTTCCTGACAGCTGAGGCTCTCCGCCATCACTGGCAGTAAGAGTTAATGCGATGTGATCCTGCGCTTCTCTATCGAGTTGCTTTTGCAAAACCATCTCCACCTTTTTGCTGCCATCTTGTTGGCTGTTGAGCTTCAAAACAAAATTATCCGTTGGTTTAAGGGAATAACTCTGCAGCCCATTCACACCCACATCTAGATCCATCGCTCTCTCTAATACAAATTTTGCTCCAATCACAGCCGACTCGCTGATTCTAAATTTCATCTCTTCCTTCTTAAAGGTGGGCACATTGTCGTTTATGTCATTAATTTCGACATTAACAGAATAAAATTCAATCGGGTCTTCGAGTGTAATTTGCAGATGTAAAGCACAAGGCGTTGTCTGTCCGCACAGCGTCTCTCTGTCGATTCTTTCTTTGACTACCAGGAGTCCTCTGTCTGTGTTTAGCTCGATGTATTCTGCTTTATCTTCTGTATATATTCTGGCTCTACCGGACTTCAGTCTCTTCACGTCTAACCCTAAATCATGAGCTATGTTGCCAACAAGGGAACCTTTTGACATTTCCTCTGGAATAGAGTAAGTGGCCTGCCCTGCTACACAGCCGAGCGAAAAAATTACAACAAACAACCATACTTGCCATCTCATTGTTCTGTCCAACATGATATATCCTCGTTAAATCCTAAAAAAAATAATGTCTCTTAATTCCAAAAACGTCAAGTTTCCCCAAATATAAGATAGTCCAGCAGAGGATGTTATATTTTGATATTTTCCGTTCCCAAATATATGCAGAAACTGCAGCGAGATGATCGCTGTCCCTTTTGTTGAACGGTTGTGGGCTATGTGAATAAATCTTTCTCTGTTTAGGGCATCAAAACGAGGGAAGAAATCGCTGCATGAGCCAACAGCGGCGCTGAGAGTACAAAGTCGTGCACTGCAGAGAACCAGACTTTGCAGGAGCAGACCGGAAATGAAACTACAATTCAACTTTAAACTGTTAAGATGAAAATACTACACGGTACTTAATAATACCGGGCATCATATTAATAAAAGGGGATTTCATAAAATCCAACTTTTGAAAAGGGTAAACTCATATTACAGCATATAATTTTCTTGTAACTATAAATTATATATATTTTTAACTATTCATTCTCCGTTTACCATTTAACACTACATATAAGGGATTTACGTACATTGAACACATTATAGTAAAATAATACCTGGCGCAACATTCATTAGTAAGAAAAAGAGATCTTGAGGTAGTTGATACAGAAAAGTGTTTATCTTGTATATAAATTAGAAATAGTGAAAAAGTGCAATTATTTGGTTCATTCTGGGATTTTTTTTAGATCGTATACAGACACGTCATGTATCAAAAATTACCCAATCTTTCCGCCACGGCAAGTTAATACAAGCTGATTTTGCTGTTTGAAGTAACTAAGTTATTTAAGAATAAATAATCTAAAATAGGTGTGGACATAAACACCAAATTGATCATTTGGTAAATAGATTATTTTTTTTAAAGAACATCTGAATAATAATAATAATAATAATAATAATAATAATATATATATATATATATATATATATATATATATATATATATATATATATATATATA